GCAGCCTGGAGCCAGACGCCCGCCTGTCTCTCCATGTTCACGGATCAGTGCAGGACTGGCTCAATATCGACAACAGGTTCAGTAAAAACGACGATAACTTTCGGTCGTCACCACACCCTTCTTCCTGCTACAGCAGCGGGGAAATAACGGGGTTAGATGGTTTTTAGGTGTCCTCGTCAGTGCACGATTTGAACTAATTTAATTTTAACACATAACTCATAGTATAACAAATCACGCTGGTTAAATTGTAAGTTCTTACCACTGCATGTTATATTATACTTATGTACAATATTTTTAACGTGTTGCTATGTTTTAAACTGCTAGATGCGTGAAGGCATTAACGTTAGCCAGCTATGCTAACGGGTGTCCGCTATGTGAGCGTTTTAGCCAGCTGTGCTAACATTAGCTAGCTTCCACACAACATTCTGATGTTTTTGAAGTTTATGTTGCCGCTAACAGAACAAAGCGAATGGACACTAACCACCGTGTTTTCGGCCAAGCCGTTGGTGTTTCCTGTAACGCGCTGGCCTCCGCTTTGACGGCTAAATGCTGGAACCAAGTGTCAGCAGGACACAGCTGATGAGGGAGACCAAATCGCTCAGAACACCGGAGAAACGAAAGTGAAAGCGTGTGCATTAAAAACATCCAAGTACCTCAACTACAGGTTTTACACATGACAACATCCTCTTTTTTTCTTTTAATACCTTAAAACAAAAAACAAAGGTTTAGAGTCACATCAATAATAAAGGACTGCACAGATCAGCCCAGAAGACAAAGAACTTCACCACCTGGTTCAAACTGCAGGAAAACAGGCTCACTGGTTTGGCAGGCAGATGTGTAAGTCTTAGATTAACCTGTATAAAATAATAAAACATCTATCATCTGTACACCGCTTAATCCTCACTGGGGTCGCGGGGGACTGGAGTCTAATCAACATGAAAATAAACTTTTAAAAATCTATTTAAAGGAGCAAATAGGAAATCAAAGTTATGTTACTGCAAACAAAGCACATTGTGTTAACCTGATATAGTATTGAAGAAATCGTTAACATAATGTGCTGAATGAGCAGAAGAACATGGTCTGACAAGGTGGTGCTCCTGTTTGGTTGTTTTCACCAGAAAATATTCACACTGAGTCTGCAGCAATTCAAAGATTTTGTATTCTCACCACTGAAGATTGTACAAACTTCTAAAAATGCATCTGTCTGTACACATGTAAATCAGGAAGTGTGCAGGTCAGCTCTTCCTGTGGGCTCAGCTGAAGCTCCTGTACAAACTCTGACAGGCTGCAGGACTTAAACCTACTTTGAAGAACTCTGGAAACAACCGGCTGGACATGTTCTGTGTCTTGTGGCTTCAGATTTACATCTTCATCCATGAGCTGCAGAACAAAACAAAGCTTAACTATGATCAGATGCAGATGAAATGTGCTCATTTAACCAGGAGGACTAACACTAACACTAATCAGGTGACTGATTTGGTAAAAACCAATCAAAAGTTCAAAACTTTGGTGGTTACAGCCCAGTAACATGTGTGCTTTAATATTCAGTCAAAGCAGGTTTAGTATGATTTTACAGTTAAATAGAGTCTTTATGTTGGAGATCTGTGCCTCAGCGGAGCTTCTACATTTTCAGAAATTAGGCTGCTTTTCCTCATTCACACCCAAAATAAGAAAATCTCTCAAATCAAACCACCTTCTGGTGCGTCATTCGTTTTTCACCTTTTCAGGAGTTACAAACTGGTCAACTCTCCATCAGACACGGTCGAGTCCGTTTCTCTTCCCTACATTTCAGTAAACGTACCAGCGTTCACTAATTACCAGGTTACATGTCGTTACTTTGACACACATACAAACAGACCCTAAAGATAATTTAGGGTCTTTTCAGGAAACTATTTCATCGCAAAGTTACAGGAGAAACCACCTGGAAGCCACCTGCACAGAAGAGAATCCAGCAAGCTGTGAATGATGGAGCATCTCACATCAGTTAGAAACTTCATGTAATTTAGCAAATTCAGAAATCCCTGGAAATGCACTATGTGTCCGTTCCCGGCATAAGGGGCTGGTTCTGCTGCTTCCTGTTCAGGTTTTCACTTTGGTCCTCATTCTGGACAAACTTGATGG